TCTTTTTTCCCCCGACTCCGCTGCTTTTGCTGCGCTGTTATTCCAAAGGATTTGCGGCCGTGACCCTGACCACGCGCGGGGATAATCATACTTTTAAAAATAAAAGTAAAATTGTGCTTCGCAGCGCGAGGTGCGGAGGAAATGCGGCGGGGCGCGCGCGCGAGGAGGGAGCAGGCGGGAAGCGATTAAAATGATCTTCCATGGCGACCCTGATTGTGTTCTCATCACACACCTGAGGGGTGGGCATTAGCCGGAGTGGTGGCTGGCCGTTTTATTGGGCGCGGAGGGAAGGGAGGGGCGCGGGCGCCGCCGACCGGGATGTTTTATTTTTATAGGACGCCATAAAGGAGGCTGGGGCCGGGGGCCTCCGGCGCGCGACGACTCCTAAAACTGTTTTCTAATTACAGAAACATTTGCTATTCATTTGCCGCCGCCCCCTGTTCGTTCGCTGCTGTGCGCCGCGACCAGCGGCAAGGTGGCGGCGGCGCTGCCCTCCGCGTGTACTGGCAATGCGTTTGAACGAGATCAACTCGTGTCGTGGGACGTGATGGTGATTAATTTACTGTCTCGTTGGTCAGCCGTGTAAAGCCACACACCAATCAACTCGAATAAATGGCAGTTCTTGTCCATGCGGACAACTTCATAGTGCGTTGTGCCGGGAATACTTTTCTCCCCCAATTTGAGTGGTCTGGTGAGCCCAATCGGCGGCTGTGTCGGCGAGGGTCCCCCTAACGGTGTTGCGGGGGACGGGGAATGGGGGTCACGGAAAAGAGAGGAGGATTTGGAGCGGGCTTCCTCCGCCGGGATGGAGAGCGCAGCCGCATAACGCTTTAAAAGTCGGCGCGCAATTTATGGCCATTACTGCGCTTTAAAATTCTTTGCAGACTTTGGCGCGCTTGCGCGCGCGCGAGACTTGACTCATCAATTTGTCATCTTAATGCTACGCGCTAATTCCCGTGATGCATTGCAACAATCGCCGCGTAAATGCGATGCGCCTGCTCGAAATCCGGGTCGCGCCGCCGCCTCTGCTGCTGCTGCTTCTGCTTCTGGCGCGGAGATCCGCGCCAGAATATGAAATGGCGAAAATAAAGTGACTGGAAAGAAAAATAAAGGAGGACGTGTCCGAGAGCGCACTGCTATGAATAGACGTCGTTACCTTTCTCCCCCGCCCCGCGGTCCTGCCCCCGTGGCTACGCACGCTCCTTTACATTCCACCGCATACGTGTAGCGGAGGGTAATTTGCATAATTCCGTCGCATTCATTTTCGCACGCTCCCGTTGCTTTTGGCCCGGCGGCCTTTCTTAAATGAACAGAAAATCCGCGTGGCCTCCTCCCCCCTCCTCCCCCCTCGGGCCGGCCTCAAAACAAGCCGCGATGAATGGGGGAGGGTACAATTCATAAATCAGGGCAAACTACCTTCCCGAGTAGCGCCTGCCTCTGTAGCAGGGGAGGCTTGGGCCCCCGGCCGGCTGCTGGCGGTGGGTGGTGGTGCCGGGCGCGCCTTGGACCCCTTGGCGCGGCGTGGACCAAGTGGCCCCAGTGGCGGTAAGCGTAAACCGTTTCCCCTCAGCTGTGAGCGAGCGCGCGGGGGTTAATGTCGACCACGGTTATTTCGGACTGTTATTTTTTTTCTTCCACCCTTATTTTTTTATATATGTGTACATTTTTTTTCGGAATCGCAAGGAGTGAAACCCATAAAAATGCAAATGCGGTTTGCCTCTTCGGGGGGCCGTTATACGCACTTGGGCCCTCTCACGCTCCTAGGCGGTGCGAGAAAAATAACACCTACCGCTGCGGGCGGGTGGGCGCTGGAGCGAGCGCGGGTGTCGGAATATACCGCGCGCCGCGTTCTTCCCGCTTTTAATCGTTGTTGTTCCGCGTGACGCCGCAGCTTTGTTGCGCTACTTACCGTGTACAGTGACCGTTCGAAAACGGGCGGCACTTTTCCTACTGTTAAGCCTGCCATGAGGGTTAGCCTTGTTCGGGGGACTGTCTTCGCGCAATTTTGTCGATATATATTCCGCACGGTGTAGCTCGGTCGGTATTGCTTGTCTCCGTCAACCTCTATTGGACGGTGTGAGGGGCGTGGCACCGGGGGCGAGAGGGGGGGGGGGGCGAGTCGCCACAGAGCGTGTTCTGGTCGCACGCCAAATTAACTTGCTGTTGAGAATGGCGCCTCGGGGAGGTGGCCGGCCCGCTGCCGGTCTGGCTCACCTGCTCTCTGCTCTGGGTTTTCTCTTTTCGCCGCACCCTGCTGCCTGGCCCGACGTGTCCCAATGCTGCCGTTCCCGTCTGGTGCAGAGAGCGAAAATGATGATAAAAATTTCGAAACGCGCTCATGCAGTATGCGTGCTCACCGGCGGCGCGGCGGCGGCGGAGAGCGCTCGCCGCCTGCGAGAGAGCGGATAGGCCGACCCGCTGCACTGGGTTGCCGTCGTTTTGCCTACCCGCCGGGCGCTGAGGTCGAGAGGAGAAAGAAAATTATTGTTGCGGTGGCAGAAAGAGCGAGAGAGTGGGAGAGGGGGAGTCGGTGTGATGGATGAATTAACGTGGATGCGGTGGTGGTGGTGAGAGTGGGTTGAGGGGGCTGGAAGGGAGGACGGCAGCCACACCCCCGCATTGCGGCGGCCCACCCGCGAGGAAAATGGATGAAATGTTGAAATATCTGAAAGGAGTGCGCTCAATTTCGCTTCATTTTTCTTCCAAGTCTGCGCGCGGCTTTGGCCGCCCGGCAGTTGCCGCGCGCTGTTGCTGACGTAGGCCGATGTCCACCTCAGCGACCAGCTTCATCGTCCCCCTCCCTCTTTCCCCTTCCCTTCTCTCTCCTCTCTTTTCTGTCAGCAGGATGAATGCTGCAGCCCAGCGAGGCCTTTTTGTGGAGAGTTATTGCCGATGTGCTGCGCGTGAATGGACCCAATGGCTGGGAAAGAAAAACCATTTTTGCTCTGCCCTTTTGCCCACCTACTCTTTTACCTAACTCTGTCTATTCTAGTTCTTTTCTGCATTGACGCATTAAATGGTTTTCTCTTCTCTTTTCAGGGTTCGGTTTCGTAACCTTCCAGTGCGAAGATGTCGTGGATAAAGTGTGCGAAATTCACTTTCACGAAATCAACAATAAAATGGTGAGTATAGAGGTGTTCACGTGGTCCTGAAGCTATGCTTGAATCAATTCAACGTTTCTGCCCAACCTAAGAAAGAGCAGTATTTTAGAAGCTTTTACATTCATATCAGAATGGTCACGGTTAAAATAATTTGGGCTGCCCAGCTCGGCCCAGAAATTTTTCACTGCACAAAAATATTTCGTTTTACGGGATATTACCGGGATGGTTTGCCTAATCAACAATTCTTCACGGTTTGGACTGTGCCTTGACAAGAGTGTGAACTGTGAGAATTCCGTAATAGTGTACGGTATTTCTAACAGTGTTAGCTCGGCATCCTGCTGTGGCACCTCGCTTTCGCTTCCGAGGATTTTCACATTCCGCCCATCAAAATTGCACCACCGCTGGCGCTTCCCCGCCTCTCCCTCGTCCCGGACCATCGTTGAGCGCCCAACAAATAGAATGGGAGAGTGCGCCTTTGAATTAGACATGAGTGGCGCGTCTGCCAATCGTTTTACGGGGAATAGTCGTGAAAATAGGTTTCAGGGGGTTGATACTGTACTCAGCTAAACATTACTATGGGTACTCCTGTGGTAAGAAAGATGTTTTGAACGCCTCTGTATATATATAGCGCTTCAGGTTACTGCATACGCGTCAACATAAGACAATGACCAATTCCGCTTGGCTGTAACTGAAGTTTGGCCTTTCTTTCACCCTCAGGTCGAGTGCAAGAAAGCCCAGCCCAAGGAGGTGATGCTGCCTGCCAACCTGGCGAAGACGCGCGCCGCGGGGCGCGGTGCCTATGGTGAGTTGCTGCTCTCTGGGGGCCCCGGGGGCGGCGGTGGGGCCGGGGCGAGGGTTGTGGGGGCGGGTGGCAGTGCGGCCGGCGCAGCGGGGGGCTCCGCAGCCCTGTCTGCCGCCGTGGCTGCGGCCGCTGCTGCCGCCGCCGCCGCCCCTCCGAGCCTGACGTCGGCATCCACGTACCGATACTCGCCGTACCCTGCGCCGCACCACCTGCTGTTAACGCCAGCGGCGCACGCGGCACACCAAGGCCTGTACGCACACCAGGCCACCAAGCGCGCTATGGCAGCGGCGGCGGCGGCTGCTGCTCATGCTGCGATACTGAGGCAACCTACGCAACCCCACCACCTTTCATATTCCATGAGTGATCTCGTTGGTCTGCAGGGTCTAGACGTATCTCTTTACCACCCCCTCCCCATTGGACTCTGACCGAGTGTCCTGCCGGGCACGCTGCAATCAGCCCTGCAGCAGCACCACCACCGGCACCCTCAGTAGAATCCGATCTCAGTGCTGTCGTTCGCGCGGGTTGAAGCTGTTCAAGCTGTGAACCATATCGTTGGGCCTTCGTGCCCTGCTCCTTTCTTCCTATTGACTCGTTTTTTCTCCGAGTTGCGTGGGGGAGACTTTCAGAGTATACGGATGGAGTCCGTCTATATTTATATAGTTGATTTTGCCTTTTCTCGTGTACCAGTTTCAAACTGTTGCCTTGTTGATTTTTCTCGCAAGTTATCGGGTTACAATCGAAGATTTCCCTGATTAGTTAGATAAATTCAACTATTGAAATCATATATATCATACATACATT